CCGAAGTTGCGTCATGAGCTCCTTCATCACCGTCGGTGCTAATTGGTATGGTGCTTTCGCTATCGGTGTTGTTCCTGGTAACAAGTCTATTCTGAACTCTACTTGTCTATCAGGCGGTAATCCAGGAAGATCTTCGGGAAAGACTTCCGGATAATCACACACAACTGGTATATTCTGCACCTCCTTCTTTTCCTTCTTAGCATCGATCACAAATGCTAAATATGATGCGCATCCTTTGGACACATATTTCCTGGATTTCATCAGGGAGATGATTTTAGAATTTACTCTACGTTTGTCCCCGTACACCATAAATGACTCTTTTCTAGGTGGGTTCACCCTTACTATCTTCTTTCGGCATTGTATCTCGGTGTCGTTGGCGCTAAGCCAATCCATTCCCAAAACGATATCAAAACCGTTCAACTCTATGGGCAACAGCTCTTCGTGGAATTCGTTTCCATTTAGGTTGATGACGATGTTCCTAATACGATCACTAACAGGTACGAATTTGCCACTGGCAACTTCTACAATCAGGGCATTATCAAGTTTTTCTACGGGCAATGCTAGTTTCCCACCAAACTTCTGTGACACAAAGGAGTAGTTTGCTCCGGAATCAAACAGTATATTGGCAGGAAAACCATTTACAAGGAAGGTACCTGAAGCGACATCTGATGCCTCCTTTGCAGCTTCGAGCGTAATCTGGAAGGCTCTTGCCTTCGGCTTCAGTGGAATGTTGGCTCTTCCTGCCTCCTTCTTCTTCAGGCACTCCCTCGAAATGTGCCCCTCCTCGCCACACCCGTAGCAGACTTTCTTGGTGAGGGTGCATTCATTGGCATAGTGCTCGGGATTTCCACACTTGAAACAGGTGACCTCCCCGTCACATTTCCCATGGTGCTTCTTCTTGCACTTGTCGCACCATTTTGCTTCGGCTCCTCCTCTTCTCGAACCAGACTTCGAGAATTTACTCTTCTTGCTGGACCTCGAGAATCCATCGAATTTCCTTTTCTCACCAACCTCGGCCCTGTCCAGACCCCTTTCCTTCTGCTGGGTCTTCACATTCTTAGCTGCTCGAACCGCTGATTTCAGAGTGGTTGCCATCTTGACCGTCGAGCCAAAGTCGGCTGGCAGTCCATTTGCGAACCTCTCAATTTTGGAGAGTTCGGTTGGCATCAAGTAGAAGTTCGAGACGAGAATATTAAGATAGAGAAATCTTTATTTACGATAGACGTATACTTCCTCATTGTCACTCCGAAAAGTTACATGCTAGTTCTAATACCGTAATTTATACGTTTAGAAATCTGAACACATAAAGTTTCCAGATCTGGTCGGCAATATACCATAGATCTGATCAATTAATAGCATATAAGGTATCTTTATAGCTATAACATAAATCATTTAGCACATAATAGCAATTTAGGTATCTTTCCTAAAATAAGCTAGTGCACGTGTCTAAAATATAGCAGACACTCATCTCACAATCATCGCTTAGCATTCTAAGTTTAAGTCTAGAAATCCTACAAATTTCTAGTTCGCTTAAACTAATGCTCTGATACTAGCTGTGACATCCCTATTTTCACGGCTAGAAAAGACCGATTTTGTTTATGCTTTGTTTAAAAATCAGAGTAACATTTTAAATAAAAGTGTTGCAGAATTTGTTCCCAAAATAAAATATGATAAAGATTTATCAAAGCATTTCCGTAGAAATGTATTTCATTAAAAACCTCGGGATGTCATGTTCGATACAGATCAAAAGCATAAACAGTACAATATAAGCCTTACTACATTTATTCATATCTACAGGCCTATATCCGTAATCTCTCATCCCAAACATCATATCTATGCTCGTGCACCACTACCTGTAATACAAGAAACTGAGTGGGTCAGGCTTGGGAGCCTGGTGAGCACATAGGGTTTTCAACCCACAATAAATAAGTTTATTAATTTCATCAACCAACAATAACCCGATTATCCGTTTCCGTTATCCTCACTTTATGTCCCTAAAACACATATCATAAGGGACCTAGCCTAAGGATCATCATCGGCATGGACACTACTGCTAAGGGGATTCCTCAGCAATAAATGTCCTTAATGCAACCATGAGGGGGATGGAGTACACCGGTGAACACATCGTTCACAAACACCTACAGGTTGCGAGCCTGCTAGCGTTCCACTGGACTGTCTAGAAGAGTCTGTGGTCGTCATCCATACTCCGCTAGATGACAGAATCAACAATAACAACATCGAGGCCTCTCATCATTTTATCACACATCGTCTATTACATCTACCCATGTTTACCCCAACATTTTGTAGATATAAAATACATATACAGTTTAAATCATTAAAACATGTATAAAAATCTTTCACCAGCATAGACAGCAAGTATTCAGACAATATGCACACATAGCACGTAGTTTATATTAAATACTTCATATCTATGTGTAAGATGAAAGTAACTATGCACTCACCTGAAAAGATGGTGACTCTGCACTCGGACAGCGCTTCGTTACTCGTAAAACAATTTTCCTCGACAAAACAAACGAGCTTTTATTAAAAATCGGGCTTCGCTGGAGCAGCGTTTCCGAGCCAAAAAGCTTTTCTTCTCGGAGCCGTCGGGCGCTCCGGGGCTTCCTTCTCGTGCTAGGGAAGTTCCCTAGACTTGGGAGGGGTTTAGGGAGGCTAGAGAGAAGTTAGAGAGAGAAAGAAAAGCTTATGGTGTGAAGAAAATATGAAGAGTTCACCCTTTATTTATAGGGATTTTATAGTAAAGTAGCCCCTAAGTTTCGTTCGTATCTTCCGCGTACGAGCTCTGTTTTCTACGTTCTTTATATCCACGCGTTGGTATTTACGAGTACTACAACTTTCATTTAGACCCCGTCGGCTAATTCTCCTTCTATCTCAGATTTACAAAAACTGTATCGTATTTATCGCGCACAAAGAGTAGCGACTAAGCTTCGTCCATATCTTTCGCATACGAGCTCCGTTTCCGACGTTATTTATATCCACGCATTGGTATTTACGAGTACTACAACTTTCATTTAGACCCCGTTGGCTAATTCTCATTCTATCTCGGATTTACAAAACTGTATCGAATTCGCCGCGCTCGAAAAGTAGAGACTAAGCTTCGTCCATAACTTTCGCATACGAGCTCCGTTTTTGACGTTATTTATATCCACGCGTTGGTAAAAATAAAATCTACAACTTTCCTTTTACTCTGTCGGCTAATTCTTGACCGATCTTAAATTTAACAGTAGGAGGTGATTACATTGTTAAATGTCCGCGTAAAATTCATAACTTTTACATACAGACTCCGTTTTCGTCTGTCTTTTTGTCGTTGAGTTTCTATTAATGAGATCTTCAACTCTCATTTAGGTTACGTAAGCCAAAATCGCTCGAACTAAAATTCGATTTTCGGGTCGTGCACTGCTATGCCAAATCTTAGATAAATCATAACTTCCTCATACGAAGTCAGATTTTAGCGTTCTTTATATCCCCAGAATCCTTGTTTCGACCACCACCACTTTATATAAAGATATCGGGTTTATCTCACACTTTAATTTTGACGCTTATTTTTATTCTTTATTAATTATACATTTATAATTAAGTATAAAACACATAAATTCATATAATTCATATAATACTCAAATAATTCATTTTTATTACTTCAAAAAGAGTTACAATAGTTGACCTAGACTATTAGATCATCTATTAATGCTTAGCCCCAAAACCCGGGCGTTACAGAGAGCAATACAAGCGTCGTGCTGCTAGGCGAAGCAGTAGAATGTTGCACCCTAGATGGCGAAAGTCCAGTAGCCGAAAGCATCACTAGCTTATGCTCTGACCCGAGTAGCATGGGGCACGTGGAATCCCATGTGAATCAGCAAGGACCACCTTGCAAGGCTGTAAATTCCTGGGTAACTGATAGCAAAGTGGTACGGTGGGGGGAAGGGTGAAAAGAACATGAAACCGTAAGCTCCCAAGCAGTGGGAGGAACCGGAGGCTCTGACCGCGTGCCTGTTGAAGAATGAGCCGGCGACTCATAGGCAGTGGATTGGTTAAGGGAACCCACTAGAGCCGTAGCGAAAGTGAGTCTTCATAGGGCAATTGTCACTGCTTATGGACCCGAACCTGGGTGATGATGAAGCTTGGGTGAAGCTAAGTGGAGGTCCGAACTGACTGATGTTGAGGAATCCGCGGATGAGTTGTGGTTATGGGTGAAATGCCACTCGAACCCAGAGTTAGCTGGTTCTCCCCGAAATACGTTGAGGAACGGCAGTTGACTGAACATCTAGGGGTAAAGCACTGTGTCGGTGCGGGCCGCGAGACCGGTACCAAATCGAGGCAAACTCTTAATACTAGATATGACCTCAAAATAACAGGGGTCAAGGTCGGCCAGTGAGACAATGGGGGATAAGCTTCATCGTTGAGAGGGAAACAGACCGGATCACCAGCTAAGGCCCCTAAATGATCGCTCAGTGATAAAGGAGGTAGTGGTGCAGAGACAGCCAGGAGGTTTGCCTAAAAGCAACCACCCTTGAAAGAGTGCGTAATAACTTACTGATCGAGCGCTCTTGCGCTGAAGAAGAACGGGGCTAAGCGATCTGCCGAAGCTGTGGTATGTAAAAATACATCGGTAGGGGAGCGTTCCAAATTATAGTGAAGCACCCGTGTGAGCGGTAGTGGACGAAGCGGAAGCGAGAATGTCGGAGATGGCTGAGTGGTTGAAAGCCATGGTCTTGAAAATCGGTATAGTTTACTATCGAGGGTTCGAATCCCTCTCTCTCCTTTTATGCTTGTTAAATAAATTTGTTTCTTTATTGGATTGGTTTTGACCGTATGGTTTCATTATCATAAAGAAAGGGGAGTGGCTCGGCTATCCCGCCTAGCCAAGCCAGAAAAATGGATTAAATATAAATGAGTTGAAAAAAAGAATATTTTTTATGACATGATCCCTATATGTATGAAGGAACCGAAGTGACTCCAAGTTCAAGTTTTGATATCCTGTCTCAATTAAGAGGGGTCATGGAAAGAACAAGTTCAAAAGCACGATCAATTCCTTTTTCAAATCCTACTGCAGCTGCACGAGCTCTTCCTACGTGCCACAAATGCCCTACGAAGACGAAGAATCCTAGAACAAAATGAGAAGTAGCTATCCACCTTCTAGGAGAGACATAATTGACTGCATTGATCTCGGTAGCTACGCTACCCATGGAGTTTAAAGAACCTAAAGGATCATGGGTCATATATTCTGCGGAACGGCGTTCTTGCCAAGGTTGTATGTCTTTTTTCAGCTGACTTAAGTCCAACCCATTTGGACCTCTTAGGGGTTCTAACCAAGGAGCACACAGATCCCAAAAACGCATAGTTTCTCCTCCAAAAATGACTTCTCCAGTCGGGGAACGCATTAAATATTTACCTAAACTGGTAGAACCTTGAGTAGATCCAACTTTAGCTCCAAGACGTTGGTCTCTAACTAGAAATGTAAATGCTTGAGCTTGAGAAGCTTCTGGTCCAGTGGGCCTGTAAAACTCACTAGGATAAGCGGTATTATTGAACCAGACAAAACAACAAGTAATGAAACCAAAGACAGATATAGTCGCTAAACCATAAGATAGGTAAGCCTCTCCAGACCATACAAGTAGTCGTCGAGCCCATGCGAAGGGTTTGGTTAAGATATGCCAAATTCCACCAAGTATACAAATGGAACCTAACCATACATGGCCTCCGATTATATCTTCCAAATCGTCTACACTAACAATCCATCCTTCTCCCTCAATGGGGGATTTTAGTAAATAACCAAATATGATACTTGGGCTAAGCATCAAGTTGGTGATTTTTCTTACATCTTCTCCTCCCGGAGCCCAAGTATCATATACGCCCCCAAAATAAAGATCCTTGAATACTAGAATAAAAGCACCTATACCTAACAAGATTAAGTGAATACCTAAAATTGTGGTCATTTTAATTCTATCTTTCCATACATAACCGAAGAACGAAAAAGACATTCTTCAAGTTTCTCAGGCCCTAAAAGTGCTTGATAAATACCGCCAAAGCCCAATACTACAGAGGAAATTAAATGAAGTACTTCAGATACAAAGTATGGAAAAGTATCTATAACTTCCCCACCAGGACCCACCCCCAACCTAGAGTAGCTAGGTGGGGAAGTAAAATTAATCCTTGTTCATACATAGGCTTCTCTGGTACGAAATGAGCCACTGCAAATAGATTCATTTCTCTGGCCCAGAATACGATTAATCTGACATGGGCTACATGAGCCCCTAGTAGTTTACCGGATAAATTGATAAGCCGGGCATTCCCGAACCACGAAGCGAAACCGGTGGTTTCTTGGTCACGACAGGCTAAAGCTAAAGTTCCATTAAAGAGCGTTTCCACGGGGTAGAACCTCCTCAGGGAATATAAGGTTGAAGAACTTCATCGACGATCTCGGAGTTGTCCTGACCATTCAAGAGCCATTAGAACTTTTCTGTGATGAAGAAGGGGTGTTTCTTTTGACAAAAGAACCAAATGATCGTGGTAGATCCAATCATATCAACAGAAAGTACCATTATATCAGACATATGGTTAAAGAAGGTCATATCCTAGTGAAGCGAGTATCATCAGAAGACAATCCTGTAGATCCTTTTACGGAGGATCTGAGTAGGGTTAAACACAACCATCATGCTATGAGTATTGACTTGAGATACAATGTTAGTTTTAATAGTTAGTTGATAGATTGAAACTTTGTAACAAAATAAATGTAACTGATTTTTAGTGATTGAATAATGGAGAATTATTTATGAGTATGGTTCCTACCTTTTCAATTGTTTATTCTTGTGTTTAAATGTTTCACTTCCTGAATTATTTGATTGTTCAAAATTCCACAGTCTTTTATACTTTTGGAAGTAAGTAGTGAAGTAACACTTTCATGAATAGATTGTAGATTGTTTATGGAGATTAGACATTACAATGGGTTGCTACGTTATTCATGAGTACTTAGAAAATGGAAATTTTGAGTATTAGATAAACCCACACTAATAGAATTACTTCATGATTATATCACAAGTACTTCTGATATGGTAATATCTTTTATTCTTTAAACGGATATATATAAGTTGTAATTACAAGTCGGTTGTACATTGGTATTGGGAAAACACATCAGTAATATGATGTTACAAAACATAGTGTCATCTATGATTTGGTGAGTAAAAGATAAAAGTATATAAGTCGAAGTTTATTGGTTCCTTTTTCCCTAACAGGAAAAGCGATACCTTTGGCCCCTCGGTGATTTGGTGTTAATATTATAGGGTTGGTCTCAGTCAGGATTGAACTGATGTGTTCAATTAGTAGTCTGACAACGTCATCACAAATCAGGAAATCGGGAAGCAGAATTTTGGACAATGAGATTGATTGTAATCCGTTTCTCATGTCCATACGATATCTTCAAGAACAAAGGAATATTTTATCACTTATCTTAGGGCCAATGTCTGATTGGATCATTGTTCGACAGTTGCTTCGGAAAGTACACTTTGTTGTTTAATTTATTAGTTATACTTGAAATAGTAGTTACAGACTTATCCAAGTGGGAGACTTTTGGATTAAGGTTTCTAAGTCAATAACTAAATTGGCAAATACTTGAATTAAAGGCAAAGTCGTTTTTGGGTTGCCCTCAAAACTAGTACTTGACTAAAATGACTTTTGGAGAGAGAGACTGATTTATTGATTTATTATATGATTAATAGATAGCAGTAAATATTTTTTTTAATATATTATGAGTTAATACATTAATTAGAAATAATATTATTTAATTAATAATTAATCAAAAATAATTGGAATTAATTTTGGGATTAATTAAAAGTGTAAGGACTTAAGCGATAATTTTTCAATAATTGAACAAGAAAGGTTCCAGAACCTTCCATGGGTCATGAATGGTTTTTGGGAGTTTTTAAGGGTTTTAGATTAATCCTTAAAGATAATTAGGAGTTGGATAATTACCAAATTTGAAATAATAGTATTATATTCAAATTAGGAGCTATAAATAGAGCCCCTTGGCTCCTCATTTTCGTCCATCACTTATACCAAAGGAATAACTGAATTTCCTACTCATTCTCCTCTCTCCTCAAGTGTTCTAATTGCTAGGATTTGGGTACAAACCATTAGAGACATTGGATTTTTGGTGCTTGCTTTCCAACACATTTGAAGAAAGGAATTGACTTGATTATTTGCTATAATAATCAAAAGGTATGTAAACCCTAATCCACTATAATTTTCAATTAATGTAGGGGTTCCTTAGGGTTCTTGATGTTCATTAGATTATAACTATCAATAGAGAAAACTTAGATCCAAATAGGTTGCATGTGAACTTAAGGGTTAAGTTATTTTGCCTCATGCTTTGATTTATAACCTATAAAACCTATCAAAAACGTCATACAGGAGAGCATCGCGTGGAAATGGATCGGGCTTAGCAGTCAGCGATCGTGAAAAATGTCATGAGCGAGAGCATCATGTGGAAATGGATTAGAAAAGCTTGTCAGTCGTTAAGCCTTGTCCGCAGAGCATGCCACGAGATAGAGTTGGGCTAAAAAGCCAAGGAACTCACGGAAAAGGTTATGAACCTTCTGAACCTTATAGACGGAGTTTGCCATTATAATGTAGTTGGGTTGAGAAGCCAAGCAACTCAAGGAAAAGGTTATCAACCTTCTGAACCTTGTAGGCGGAGCTTGCCGCTGTAATGGAGTTGGGCTGAAAATCCAAGCAACTCAAGGCAAAGGTTATGAATCTTCCAAACCTTGTAGGCGGATCTTTCCGCTATAATGGAATTGGGATGAGAAGCCAAGCAGCTCAAGGAAAAGCTTATGAACCTTTTGAAACTTGTAGGCGGAGCTAAGAGCCTACAATCATATAGTTGGTCCTGGGTGATCAGTTTGGGCAGTAATATAATGGTAACTAGTGCATGATTTCATTGACTATAAGTAAAGAAATACTCAGGCATGTAGAAAAGCTGCTTGTGTTGCAATAAAATGGTTTAGTTGTTGTGTGCAACATGGATGCCACTAGGAAACTATATGGTGGTGATATTGTTGGGAGCTAGGAAGAGGTGGGTTGCCAAGCTACTGAGAAGAGCTAGGCAGTACGGGCGTTGAGAAGATATAGGTAGCAGGGCTGTTAGGAGCCGCGCAATCGGGCTGCTGAGAGCCGGGATGCAGGGCTGCTGAGAGCCAAGCTGTGAAGTTGTTGTTAAGAGTTGGGTAGCCGAGCTGCTTCTTCAAAAATGATGTTATCTTTCGAGGATATTATCATGTACAATATCAATTTGTCTTGTAGTTCAGCTCCGCCCTCATAATGGAGATAATAACTTTGCGTAGTGTTGTATTAACCCTTTTACTCCCCCCTTTTTGGAAAGGATGAAAATGAGAAATGATGAATATGTGGGGTTGCTCTTTGTATAAATTAGTGTGGATTGCTTTTGTGTAGTCTTGATTTAATTCAAAGGGTGTGTATAAGCTTGTATATGATAATGTCATCGATTTTGGAGGGTTGCTTTCGTGGGTGGTGACTTTTAGCATAAGGGTCGTCATTTGTGATTTGTCGTAAGGTTTTTTCACGGTTTGATAATGATATAAGATAACCGGACAATGTTTTGCAAGTTTTGTTGCAAGCTTGGTTGTAGATACTAGCATATGTGTCATGCTAGTATATGTGTCATGCTAAAGGAAATTGAGTTGAGACTTCATTATCCATTGGATTGTGCTTGCACGTTTGTGCCTCATTCGCTCGTGTTTATGAATGTATATTTGTGTAGAAACATAAACGACGACCCAACTGAAAGGTTGATCTCATTTTGTTGTCATGATGCAGGCTGACATGGCAGCGAGACTGTCAGGATGCTAGGCTGCAATTTGAAATGTTTGCATCTGAATAGACTCACACAAACAAATTTAATTAGTTAGTTTGTTTCTTGAAATAATAAAGAAATTCGGTTTTATGTGGAGATCATTTTTCAAAGAGCTTCGCGATGTGCTGAAAGTAAACTACTCTTCTTCCCCCCCACCTTTTTTTTAAAACGACGAGTGGATCGGACCACAACACATCTTCTTGAACCGGATTTAGTTATACCGAATTACAACACGCAAGCAATGAGCGATTGATTGGCTATATTGTCTTGCGAAAAATAGCCCATTTATGGTAGAAATAAACATATTCATTTTGGCAAAAAGACGGTTAACAACAACGAAACTCTTGGAGGTTTTATGAAATGCACAAACATTGCAGCTATGTTTACAAACAGTTGCTTCAAAGAATAGATGATACATAGAAAACCTTAGCTAAACAATGGTTTCCTGATAATATTTGAGCTAGAGATAGGGTAAAAAACTCATAAAAAGTTCTATTCTCCTGAACATGCTAAAGATATCACCAAAACATAAATGAAATATATCTGAGGAGATATTTGTAAACTTAAATCATGTTTGTATGAACAAAAACAAACCAGATCATGAGACCTTAGCAAAATACGAAGCAGATCCAGAGATATAAGCATTAGTATGAGAGCATAACGGATCTGAACAAATAGTGGTCGAAATGAACGAATCTGGACAGATCTTGGCAAGAGCACTACGAATCTAACCAAATGAGGGTTGAAATGAGCATATTCGGACAAACCTGAGTTGAAAAACAATAGATCTGAACAGATATAGGCGAAAACGAGAGACAAAGCGAGACGATAGTCATTTTATCGAATCCTATGGATAGCGCCAATGTGGCGGCCTGATCTCACGTCGCAACACATACCATCACATATTCAAAGCAATATAACCTACATTGGACAAAAAACAACCCAGTAGCCATATGGCATGGTCTTGACGCAAGTCATACCATTGCATATTCGAAGCAATATAACCTACACGAGACAAACAATAACTCGGTAGGCATATGGAATGGTACTGAAGCAAGTCATACCATC